AACTCACACGATACACACATAATGACGATTTGTGAGTCCCCCGTGACTCTCGTGGTACATAACCAGAGATCGTCAAAATTATGTCTATTGTATCATGGTGTGAGACAACCGTGATACTTATGGTAGCCAACGTGTTAAAAATATATACGGTAACACTCAGAAAATCCACCAGAAAATCGAATTCAACCGCTGAGCCGAAGTCGCCGGGACGAGGATTGATATTCCCTACCACAGTCGGAATACGAACTATCCGTATTAACGCCGCCGTATACATATGTGTGTCACTCGGTATCACGTAACATAGTTGGAAAACACGGTTCGCCCGTATTATCGCCTCAGTGTAAGTGTGACCGTAGGTCTGTAACAATCATATATTATTGCTATGAATATTATATATTACATGTAATTTAAAATGTGAGTTCAACGCGACCATTTATATATATATATATATGTATTAAAAGAATATACTGTATAATTATTATTTTATTTAACTATTGTTATTATTTGTGAAATAAATGTACTTGGTTTATAACCCATAAACACAGCGAGTTATAAATTCCATTAAAATGTATTAATATAAACAGACATTAACTAGTCTTCACTATATTTGTGTACTCTGTAGTCAGTAAAGTTAGTCAGTAGTATATTATATTGTATTAGATATGTATATTCTATATCAGCTTTAGATTCTATATCAGATTTTTTGTGAAAAAAATGTGATACGACTTATGTTTCATACTACAAATTCATTAGCTAAATACTAAATGTATCATGGCCACTTGGCACAAACTACATTACAATCTAATATTAATAATACCTATTTAAATCTACTGCCAAATTTATATTTTCATAAAAATATAAAACAACTTGAAGTGGTAGCTGGTATTTACATAATATATATTTTGTTATAAGTGTTTATATAATTTTATGAAACATCAATCATCATTAAAGTATGTATACGTTGAGAATAACAATTGCATATACCACGTGTTAACGAAAACCATTTAAAATGTATAATTAAATTATCAATATAACTTAATAACCTATACATATTTTTGAATCCTGTTTGCAAGACATAAAATAACACTATTTCATAATCAATCTCTCGCTGATAGAATTCTAAAATATGTTTAGCGTACTGAGTAATCACGTACCTATAGGTAACTAAGCTAAGTAGTTTACCCAGTTTTAGTGGACACACAGTTTATAATATTTTTTTTTAAATAGAAAACATTGGAGTAGGTATGTCTTTAAAAATTAATAATTATGTATTTTCCAAAATAATGCAAAAATGATAAAAAAAAATTGCACAAAGTACAAAATCAATACTATTTTTTATTTATATGCCGTGTAAGTATTTACTAAAAAAAAGATTACAAAACAAATAATAGAACTAATATTAATATTTTATTTGAATTTCACTGTGTAAAAAAATTATAATTGATACCTAATGAAAAGTATTCATACTGACTATTGAGCATTTATTTTTTTAATTAGGTACAATAGAACTGAAAATTTTTTTTTTTTTTTTAAATAGATATCATTTCATTTGTATGAATTTCAAATATCTAGTAAATTGTGTATTTATTATTCGAGATTTTCAATTAATTAAAAAAAAAAGAAACATGTTAAGTATTGAAATAAATGTTCAATAGTTTGAATAAAAAAAAACTTTTATGATGATAAATATGTATGCTATATATATATATTATTTACCTGTTTTATGAAATGTAATCCTTCTCTTAACTGGTGTCTTTTGTGATACTTTTGATGTTATATCTTCATTGTCTAGATATATTAAGGATAAGTATAATTATCATAAAAGCTTCCGTATATATTTAACTAGGTACAGACAATTTTAGCTGAGTTATAATAAACATACTATTTGCATTAAACATCATAGGGATGGCTCCTGTTGGGAACAGCTCTGGAGTGATCGAAAATATTATCGATCATTCTATAGGCACTGTGCAGCTGAACAGCCAGCGCTCGGAGTGGACTAAATACATATTATTGTCGTGAGACAAATAGCGACCGGCTTATGCGGTTAGGTAGATCAGATGATGTTGGCACTACAAAAATTTACCTTCTCTCGGTTTAAAATAAAATTTAATATTTTGACTTTTAAAAGATAAAAAAACCCAACGTTACAGTAAAATAATTTTTTTTAATTATTGAATGTATTGAATTGTTCATTCATTAAATTTAGCGCTTGATCAATTACTGTATTAAAAAAGACATATTTGAATTTAAGTTCAGCATCTTTAATTGAATTGTCAGGCACCTCGTAGCTAAATGTGACTTTTTGACTCTTTTACGGGTTTTTTAAAATTCTTTATTGATATTGAAGTCCTCTGAAATTTTGTTAGCTGTTATTTTTGCAGAATGAAATCCAGAATTACGATATTTTTCAAAGAATTGTGTTAGTCCTTTTAACAAATTAATAGACACTTCCAGATGCA